AGCAGCCACGAGTCGAGGCGTGGAACAGCCCCCGGATGAGAGAGATGAAACAAACCGGCCAGGAGAAGAGACGACTAAGAGGGATCTGACTGAAGTCTGTAAAACAACGTTTGGGGGAGGAAAGGACATGAGCACAGCCAGACCGGGTCAGAGCAAAGGCCCATCCGGCCCAGCGTCCTGTCTGCCGACAGTGGCCTGTGCCAGGTGCCCCAGAGGGAGGGAACAGAACCGGGAATCATTGAGTGATCCCTCTGGTTGCCCATTCCCAGCCCCTGACAAAAGCACACAGGGAAGTGCTGTTTGCTCCTCATGGCACAGGGACTAGGGCTGGCCAGGTGAAAGTAATAGGCAGCAGGTTTAAAACTAACTAAAGGAAGTATTCACACCACACACAATCAACCTGTGGAACTCCTTGCTGGAGGATGTTGTAAAGGCCAAGACTCAAACTAGGTTAAAAAAAAAAGAACTAGAGGACAGGCCCATCAGTGGCTATTAGCCAGGATGGACAGGAATGGCGTCCCTCGCCACTGGGAATGGGAGACAGGGGAGGGATCACTTGCTGATTATCTGTCCTGTCCGTTCCCTCTGGGGCAGCCGACATTAGCCACTTTCAGAGGACAGGACGCTGGGCTGGCTGGACCTCTGGGCTGACCCGGTCTGGCCGTTCTGGTAACCCCTCTTGCCAGCTTTGTTGCTTGCGTCACTGGGGAGAGCCTGTCTCCCTTTAGACAGAAGCAGCTCTAACCTTTGTGGCTTGGAGCCGTGAGGCCACGTGGCCTGGCCTGCTCCGCCGACCAGACCCCACAGGACGGGCAGGGGGGAGAATTCCGTTTTGTAAACTTCGTTTCTCCCGTTACTCTTTGGCCTCGGGCTTCGCCGGGGCCACTCGCCGGCGCGTCTGGAGGGGTGGGGCGGCCCAGCATTCCCTCAGCACCAGCCGGCCACGTGTACCAGGAGGTCCCATCGCGGCTGGGAGCCTCTGCTCACTGGCCAGTCACGTTCATCTGCTCAGGCACAGCGCTGACAGCACCGACACCTGACGCGGTCTGGTCCGGGCACACAACACAGGCAACAGCAGCTCCCCCCACGCCCTGCCCAGGGGCCTTAGCCCTGATCGGAACGAGCTCTCTCCATGGCAAGAAGGGAGGGAGCCATTCGCCAGGCCACAGTAGCCACCTCCAGGCCTTGGCTGCTGAGCACAGCCAGAGCGTCCAGTCTGAGGGGCTGACATAAGCGCAGCCTATTTCTGTCCTGGCTTGGGAACACCGGCTCCCCCCAGTCGGTTTCTCACTGCTCGGCGAGCCGCCCTCGCGCACAGGACTGACGTCCAGCCCCACGCAGCCGGTGCTGGTTTTCACAAGAGAGCCCCAGGTGAGACTCAACACCCTTCAGCCAGCCGGCCC